TGTGTGTGTGTGTGTGTGTGTGTGTGTGTGTGTGTGTGTGTGTGTGTAGGTTTCTCTCTGCCAGAGAGATCTTCCCTAGGTCAGCCTAGGGAAAAGGGAACAGACATTGCCAGGGCTGTCAGTGTTCACCTCTGTCTCCTCTCTCCCCAATTCTTATAACTTGCTTGTTTATACTCCCTTTAATTTCAATAACCAAAGAATCCTTCCTTGGAGGGAGGAGGGGAAGGAGAAGAGGGAAAAGGGCACAGGTGTCTTTACTATTTCTGCCCTCATGGGAGGACTAGTTAGCATCAGTGATCAAAAACCCTAGAGCTGCTAAATGTTCTGAAGGTTTTTGTCTGGATTTCTCCAGCCCAGTCACTTGGTTCTTGAGTTTGTAATCTTGGGCTGGGGGCATACTTGTGTGTGTATCTGGGGGGGGGGAACCAGAGGGCTCCTGGGGGGTGGTGTGTAGAAGTCCTCAATTACCAGGGCCTAACAACTCCATCATTAGTGGTGCCCACCAAGTCACTGTCTCCCATGGCCAGCCAAATCCTGTTTCCCTAAGAGTTATTCAGATTCAGTTACTCAGGAAGAAACTTTTTGCCTGAGAAAGATAGTGCTCAGAATAATATTTGTAGAGTCGTTTGCAAAACTTTAAAGCACTAGATAAAGGCCACCTATGGAAAGGGCTCAGAACCCAGAAGCCTCTAGGGGAAGGGAGGGGACAGGTAATGTACCTGTACAGGATCCTAGCAGTAACCCGAGTGTCAGAGACATTGGACCCTTGGTTTTCAAGGATCTGACTAGCCAGGGACCAGATGAGGGTGTTATTCATCTTGGTGACATGTTGGCTGAGGAGTCAGGAGGAGCTAAATTCAAATCCTGCCTCAGACACTGACTTAACTATGGGATCCTGGGCTAATCACTTAATTTCTCTGTGCCAGTTTCCTCATAGGTAAAGTGGGGATAATACTATCTGCCAGGGATTTTGTGAGCATCATATAAGATGACAAATGTAGAATATTTTAAGTGACATAAAATGCTAGTTAGTATTGTTTATTATTATTATTATTATTATCATCGTTATTTTTATGTGCACACATGCTGGAACGTCGGGTTCCTCAGGGTATAGACTATTTCATTTTTCACTTTTGTGTCCAAGTTCTCTTGTAGCAGCCGCTTAACGTTTGAATTGAATTTAAATAAATACAAAAGGGAGGATGAAGGAAAGCTGGAAAAAGTCAAGTCCTCTGGGTCTACAGAGTTAATCTGCCTCACCAACTCCTCAATATAATTGCTGTCAGTGAATGACCTTTCTGCTAGTTACCAGCCTTCATTTCCCCAATCTATCCTCCGCCTCACCGCCCCCAACCTTAGCGCAAATATAACACATCCCCTACCGGCCTCCCCACCCCCCCAAAAAAGCACACTAGCCTTTAGACACTAAGGGCCAGCCGGCACCTAGGACAGGGCTTGTCTGGCCATGGAGCCAACCTTGGCTAGCGCCGGACTGAGTGAAACTAGCAAGTTCTATGGGAAAGTAATTACCAACCTTTCCCAACCCCTGAAAGAGACCACAGTTAGGGTCAATAAGAAATTGAGTGCGCGCACACACATATACACACACACACACTCACACACACGGTCCGAACTATAACATTTACCTGTTAACAACTCTATCTTATGTCCCAGGACCTTCATCTCTGCTTTCCCTGACCACAACAGGTGCCCAAGAGCGTCAGGAGCAAAGCTACAGAGGAAAGCCAGCGGTGTCTCGGGAGACAGAGAGAGAGAGAGACGCCTCGGGCAGCCTGGCAGCGAGGAAGGAGGGAGCGAGCAGCAGTGCCCAGGGATGCCCAGCGGTGCCCAGCCCGAGGCGAGGCGGCAGGCACAACCCGGGAGCGCCGCGAGCGAGGAGAGAGTGAAGCTGGCTGCCTGACTAGTCAATGCAGATAAGTAGCCGCCTCGGGGGTTTTCCAAAAAGAATCCGCCAATCGCAAGAATGCGAACCCACAAAAGGCGTCTGTAACCTGGCCCCGTAGATCGGGTGAACTAGGGGGAGGGGGGTGGGGTTGAAGACTAAGCAACCTCAGCTGCAGCCCAGGAAATCAACCCCCGCACCCTCCCCACCCGAAACAAAGGAGGAGACTTCTCTTGAGCGTCCTGTCCCTGGCGTTCGCACCCGAGGAGCAGCCGCGCGTGGCGTCCGCACAATGTCACCCGGCAAACCCGAGCTAGCGCCGGCCCCACCCCGCCCCCGTCGCCACCGCCCCCAAACCAGATGGGTGCCTTCTCTCCAGAAGAACAATAGCAGGGGAGGGGTGCGGCGCGGGGCTGGGGGAGAAGGGCGAGCTAAAGAGAGAGCTAAGGAGATGCTAGCCTCGTCGGGCTGGCTCGGGTGGGCGCGCGGGGTCGGGGTGAGGGGCTAGAGCCCTCAGGCTGACAAGACGAGTCAAATGCGCGGCGGCGGGAAAGCTCCCAGCCTACTGGCTGGGCGGCGCTAACATACGGGGCCGCTGGAGGGAGATCGCGGAGGGCGAGGCAGGGCTGGGCATCTCCTCCCGAGGTCTAAGACGAAGGGGAGGGATTCACTGCCGGGAGCCGAGTTTCCTTAGGAGAGGAGGAGAAAACAGGGGTGTCCGAGTGGGGATTCTGGGGGAAGAGGGGACAGCCACAGACTTACCCGCTCACTGCCCCTTAGCCGCCGCCGCCGCCCTCCTCCTCCTCCTCGCAGGTGCCAGCCCACTAGGGAAGCCCCCTGGTCCCCGCTCTCGGAGGCTCCCTTTCTTCCCTAGGGTTACGAACGAGGGTGGAGCAATCCAGGTGTGTTCGGGGGCCGCAGCTGACCGCGGGGGGTGGAGGACGCAGGGGCTGGGTCTGGTCTGGACGTCCCTGGGGCTGTCAGGGGCTTCAGGAGTCTCCTCCGGTGCTAGGCGGGCTCGGAGAAGGCTTGGGGCCTGGGGGAGAGAGGCGGCTACGTGGCCGGTTTAAATGGGGGCTGCACCACTGCGTCAGGGTGGGGAGGGGGCAGGGGAGAAGGAGGCTCCCCGGGCTACGGACTAATCAAATGCGGCCGCCAGCGGGGCAACCCTGGGTCACAGGAACCCAAATCCGAGACCCCCCCCCCTTCCCACCCCTTTTTCATTCCCCTCCCCTCCTGGCCATACTCCTCCCCGAGCTGGGGACTGCTGGGATATTTGCCTTTAGACACGGCAAGGGGAGGGGTCTCGTCTCCCTTCCTCGTCCCGGATCGGGGCGTTTCGGGGCTGAGTCTGTTCCCTGACCCAGCCTGGCCCGCCCTTCTGATCCCGGGGGAGCCGCCCGCGGGTGCAGTCGGATAGCCTCTGGAGGGACGCCCACGCCTGCTGTCTTTGTTTAGAAGCCCAGGGTGGGCGGGGGTGGATGAGTCTTACTGGATGGTTAGAGACTAGGACCCACCCCCCAGATCCTGCCCTGCCCCGCTCTTCTCCTTTCTGTGGAGTAGCCTGCCGGGTGGAAAGTCCTAAAAAAAGGAAGCAGGGAGTAGGGGTGGGAGCGAGAGATGGGGTCCCAGAGGGGACCCACGTCCATTCAGCCTTTGTTTCAGGCCATTAGGGTTTTCCTCAGTGATTTATTTCTTCCGGGGATGAGAGGATCCTTCAGGGGTGTCCTCATCCCCAAAGACCCTCCTTAGGGGTGGGGCTGGGGGCTGTTTCAAGGCCTCGGAGTCGTTTAATAGAGATATGATCTGGGGGAAAAACACTCACACACCATCACTTTTACCCTGACCTCACCCTGTTTCCGAGTGTCACTCAGTCCTTGTCTAAAAGCCTGGGAAAAGTCCCGTCCAGAGAACGGATGTTCTTGTGATTTGGAGAAAGAGGGAAATCGGTAAAGCCATTCAGGGAGTCGTCCTAAATGAAAGGCAGCTCCCGCACGCAGAAGGTCTAACTCCTGAGCTCCCTGGAGTGGCCGCCCATCTGCCTTCTGCTAACTCTGGGCAAGATGAACACAGCTGTCTTTGTTTCCAGGGCCTGGCTTTCCCATCAGCGTCCGGGCTCCCGGCCCTCGGTGAAGTTTATTTCTCTGTCTGGCCAAACGACAGTGAAGTTAATGCCAAGATCCCACTATCCGCCGCTCCCCGCCTGAAATCAGCTCAACCCTCACATGTCACAACAAACATGCCATGCTGCCAGTTTATTTATCAGGTGTTCTCATTAAAAATAACACCACTTGAGGGCCAAGAAAGGTAGGTTCTTAGCCCACGCCCGGGTTCTATTCAGAAGCTCTTTCCACAGTCTTCAGACTCCCCAGTATTTCCCAGTCATTAATGGGACTATTTAACATCCTGGCAAAAAACCACTTCAGGTTCATTATGTATTTGAGTCTCTACTAAGGTTGGGACTTTGGGCAATTTCATGCTTTTATTTATCTTTTTAAAATCCTTATTATGGTACTGTATAAACATCATTGGCAAGGTCACACTTCCTTCAGGCTCACTAGAGAGCCTGCTGTGCTGAATTGTTTTCCAAGGAAGAAGAATAACACTAATAAAGTTTGTGTATGAGTGTGTGTCTGTGAGATGAAGAATCCGGCTTTGTTTGCTTTCCTATAATCTAGCAGGCTGGGCTCATTCATCCACTCCTCACAGGTTTGGGAAGAATGTTATAAATTTGCACCAAGGACCTCTGGGATATCCCCCAAATTGCAGGTTTCAAAGGTGGAATTTTAAAAATATATACATATATACATATACACATATGTATATATGTATATATTTCATTAAATACTTTCCAATTAATTACATGCAAAAAATTTAACATTTATTTAAAAAATTTTTGAGTCCCATGATGGAAAATATTATTCACATCCAGAGAAAGAATAATAAAGTCTGAATGCAGATCAAAGCATACTATTTTCACTTTTTTTGTTTTGTTTTTTTTCTTTCTCTTGGTTTTTCCCTTTTGTTTTGATTCTTCTTGCACCACATGACTAATGTGGAAATATGTTTAATATGATTGTACATGTATAACCTATATCAGATGCTTGTCATCTTGGGGAGGTAGGGAGGAAAAAAGTTTGGAACTCAAAATCTTATAAAGGTGAGTGTTAAAAACTTCCTTTACATGTAATTGGAAAAGAATAAAATACTATTTAAATTTTTTAAGTCCCAAATTCTCTTTCTTCCTCCTCCTTGAGAAGGCAAGCAACTTGATATCAGTTATACATGTGAAGTCATGCAAAACATATTTCCACATCAGCCATGTTGCAAAAGAAAACACACGCTCACACAAACAAGAAAAATAAAGTGTAAAAATGTATGCTTCAATCTGCAAAGGTGGAGCTTTAAAGAAATCTCCTAGAATACTGCCAAGGAGCTTTATGGTACAGTGGAATAGTTGGACTTGGAATAACTCACCCCAGTCAAGGAGGTCGCTTGGTAATGCCATTGGCTGACCTGGACTGTCTCCCACTCTTGAGGCTTCAGTAGGTAGTAGTGCCCTGGGCAGGAAGAAAGCCATTGTTAATCGGTGTCTTTCCAATAGTCCAAGTTAATGACTTTTCTTCTGTTGTCCGGGATGTCCTCCTTTGGAATATAAGGCGGTGGAGGAGTAGATCCTTTGGGCAGGTTTTGTTTTGTTTTCACTGGCAAGTAACAGCAAACGAAAAACAGCCCTAGTCAGAAGGCCAAGCTGTTGGCTAGCACTCACTGACGGGCCCCAGAAGTCTCAGCCTATCCTGGCTTCTGATTGCTGTTGCTGCTTGTCCTTCACAAGGGTGATGTCTGGAGGTCACTTGCCTCTATTTCTTAAACTGTAAAATGAAGCGGAGGAAGCTGGCCAATTTTGGAGCTGGACAGGGCCTCACGGATGCTCAGGTTCTGGGGTTCTCAACCTCCAGCCCGTGAACTTGTTTTTATTATTTCTTAATACATTGATGACTATTTCAGTTTAATCGGTTTCCTTTTTAATCCTATGTGTTTTATTGTAGGCATTTAAAAAAATTTCCCTGCACTACCAAAGGACTCTATAACTCAAAAATTTTAAGAATCTGAGATCACAGGCCAGTTTGAAGAGAGTTTAGAAGCAAGTGAGAAGTGTAAGCACCTAGCGTAGACAACTTTCTCAAGTTTGGATTAGAAGGGGAAAAGACGGAAGCGGTAAGTATCCTGCCAGTATAAAGGAACTACACATCTTTTTGATGAAAATATTAGCCAATAGTACCTATGAAGCTTCTGCCTTTTGTTTATCCAGGTGAAAAATAAAAGACTGCAGAATCAATGTAGTGATGCAATGTCGACCCATTGTCAGATTTGGGTAAGTCATTTCACTCCTCCCCACTCAACTCATCATGGGATCATAAATTTAGAACTAGAAGGGACCTTAGGGGCCGTCAAATCCAACTCCTTTATTTTGCAGAGAAGAAGACAGGTTGAGAGATGTTGGTGACTTGCCCAGGGTCACCCAGCTAGTAAGTGACTGAAGCAGGATTAGAATTCAGGTCTTCCTGACTCCAGAACTAGTGGTCCATCCACTGTACCACCTAACTTTCCAATGTCAGGAGTGCAGTCAAGTGAACGTATGGCTTCGGAAGAGTCAGAATCTTTCAGGGGATAGAACTTGTGTCCTTAGCGCTCTCTAGGTATTGATCATCTGAGCTAGTCAAACCAGCTGTCTCCATGCTGGGCCTTCTGTTCTCATCCTTCCTGCTTTGCACTCACCCCTGAAAACTTCTAGCTCCCTTCAACCATTTTCCAACACTTCCCGTCTTCCTTCTTTAGGATATAAGTTCCCTGAGAGCAAAGAATGACTGGCTTGCATTTGTATCCCCAATGCTTAGCCCTGTGTCTGGCACATGGTAAGTGCTTAGTATATGATCTCTGTCTCTCTTTCTCTCTGTCTCTCTCATCATCTATCTCTCTCTTTATGTCATCTTTCTGTCTGACTGCTTGTGCATATCAGTCTATCCGTCTGTCTAGATTTGTCTATTTATTTTTCTGTCTTTCTATCTCTCTCCATCTATCTGTCTTTCTGTTTCTGTCTGTCTACCCATACGTGTCTATCTTTCTATCTGTCTATCCATTCAACTCTGTCTTTTTGTCTGTCTGTCTGCTTGTTTGTCTATCTGTATATGTCTGTCTATCCATCTATCCCTGTATCTGTCTTTCTGTTTCTGTCTACCCATACATCTATCTTTCTGTCTGTCTAGTCATCCAACCGTCTGTCTACCCATCCATCTGTCTGTCTCTGTCTTTCTGTTTCTCCGTCCATCTACCTGTCTTTCTGTCTATTTCTCTTTCTGACTCAGTCTGTGTGTCTGTCTGTGTGTCTATCAGTCTTTCTATCTATCTGTTTGCCTTTCTGTCTCTGTCTTTCTGTCAAACTAGCTATCTCTTTGTCTTTCTCTGTGTCTGTTTACCTGTCTATCTATCCATCTATCTGTGTGTCAGACAAGAACCTGGAACAGTAAAAGACTGTTGTTTTCATTGCTATTTCTAGGTCTTTGGCTCAATTGGGATCAGCCTCTTCTGCTCCTAGCTTATGTTTGACCAAATTTTGTGGGCCTCCTTCAGTTTTGCAATGTATAAAACCTCTCCTCTCATGACAATAGCTAGTCCTTTTCTTCCTGATAAGGGCAGACTCTCACTCCTTTTCTGTCCCAGTTAAAGGAATTGCCCCCTCTCTGCGCCTCCCCTTTTAAGATGCAGAATCAAAGATTTAGCATTATATAGGGATCTTCAAGCACATCTGGTCCAACATCCTCATTCAAGAGTTATGGAAACTTAAAGAACACTTGGAAGCTAGCACAATGTCATATCCTATACCACACCTTTCTTGAAGGTCTTTCAAAATAAGATCACGTCTCACGTTGGAAGTGCATGAAGGCAGGAAGATGGTTCTTATGCCTTTTTAGGTCTCTTCCTATCACAGTGTCATAGACCTGGAACCCCTCATTTTACAGATGGGGAAACTGAGGCTCGGCAAAGTTAAGTGATTTGCCTAGGGTCACACAGCTAATAAGTGTTGGAGGTGGGATCTGAACCCAGGAATGCCTGACACCAGATCACCTTGCCTGTCTCCTCTGAATCCTCCTTTCCCTGAACCTTTTGCTGCTCCATTCAAGGCCTTGACCTTCCCCAACCCCTTTGCCACCAACATTCTGGCCTCAGTGACTCTTAACTGCTCCCCTCTCCCAAACTCTTATTCTTCCCCTCCCCCAGTTCCAGAGAATGGAAACAAATCACTGTGTACAGGCGCAGTTGTGACAAAGCCATCTGCTTGAACCATCCCTGCATCATCTGTGCACCAGTTTCAGCCCTTTTGTGTGTCATTCTCAGTGTGATTGACAAGCCTCCCCTCCTCCATCATCATGACTAAGCAGTGAGTGTCTTCCAGGAGGTCAGGCTGTGCTTTTTCAGGGGGAGATCCCTTGGAGACCATGGGAAAAGACACAGAGAATGTACCCATCAAATGTCAGAGCTGGCTGGGAACTTAGGAGTCATGTAGCCCATTTCTCATTTTACAAAGGAGGAAACTGAGGCCCAGAAAGGGGGATTGCCCAAGATCACACATCTCCTTACCTCCCAGTCTAGCGTTCTTTCCACCATGCTCAGGATGATCATATTTTAGACATGGAGCCATACGTTAAAAAAAAAACAAAGACAAAGAAATAACTTCATACAGGGCATGAAACACTTTACCGTGGGAGTCAGTAGCCATACTGCCAGATCTTCAGCTTATTTCAGGAATTTGAGCTCATTGGTTGACTCCTCTGCCTTGGTTTTTATGCCTGTAAAATGGAGATAATTCTATGTCTTTTCCTGGTGAAAAGGGTTTTGTAAATAAGACTTTGTCATGTCTCCACACTATTTCCCAGGGAGATGGGAGGGGAACAGATAAAAAGAAAGTGTAGCCATCACTGTTTGAATGGTCCATTCGCTCCCTCTCCATGCCACTGCCTACCCCTATGACCTATGGCACTGACAATCGTACTCAACTTTGTGGCACAGCAAATGGAGTGCTAGACTTAGAATCAGAAAGACCTGAATTCAAATCCTGCCTCAGATACTTAACCAGTTTTGTGACTCTGAGCAAATCATGTAATCTCTCTCAGGCTCAGTTTCCTTACCTATTAAATGGGATAATAAAAGCACCTATTTCACAGGGGTATTGTGAGGATAAAATGAGATCACATTTATAAAATGCTTTGCAAACTTTAAAGTGCTATATAAATGCTAGTTTTTTTATCATTATTATCATGAGAGAGCATTGGAGATCACAGTGGGCATCAAATCTCAGCTGTGGCTATCATTAGTGTCTTGTCTATAGTTCAATATCATGAAATATATTAAACAATACTCATAGATTCTTAGGGTTAGAAGGGAACCCAGAGGTCTGGACCAATCCCAACCCAAGGCATGAAAGTCTTCCACAATATCTTTGGTAAATGGCTGTCCAGCCTCAACCTGAAGATAAAGTGATGGGGATGGTGATGGGGTGGGCAGCGAAGAGATGGAATGAAATTTGTGTTAACCTTTTCCATTCTAGGGCAGACTAACTGTTAGAAAGTTGTTCTTTATGTAGCCCCACCTGGTTACTACTGAATAGAAAAGAGATAAAGAGGGGGGGGGGAGAGAGAGGGGGGGAGAGAGAGAGAGAGAGAGAGAGAAGGCTAGTATTTTGAATGCAGAATAGAAGACATCCCCAGGAATGTTATTAGGCTCAAATGAGATAATGAATATGTCTTTTATTGCTGCTAGTGAGTGTCTGAGGCCAGATTTGCACTCAGGTATTCCTGATTCCAGGCCTAGAGCTCTATCCGCTGTGCCACCTACCTGCCCACCGTATAAATACCTGTTGTTACTACTATTAGCCTCCAGTTGCCAGGCCTCCGATCTAGTGATGATTTAATTCTCTGAGCCTTCTACTCTACTTCTGTTCCTCATTTTGGATTTCTCTGCCTTCTCCATCATGGCCCCAGTAAACTTATCATTGGGAAATCTCCCATCTTGCAAGATCCAATCAACTGTCAATACCCTCTGCCTCTCTGACTGGAGGGTGGAGCTATGAACTTCTCCATTTAAAGAGAATAGGACTAACATCTCATTTCCCACCTGGCTTCACTCATTTTGGACCCTCCCCTCCCCCCACTTTTTGACCTTCTTTTGTGAGTTGCTTTCTACCATATTCATAAGATTGTAAACTCCTTTTTTTTAAAATTTTTTTTCATTTTTAGGCAATTAGGGTTAAGTGACTTACCTAGGGTCACACAGCTAGTAAGTGTCAAGTGTTTGGTCCAAGACTGGATTTGAACTCAGGTCCTCTTGACTTCAGGGCCGGTGCTCTTTCCACTGCACCATCTAACTGCCCCTAGGTTGTAAACTCCTTGAGGACAGACACTGTCTTTCCTTTTTGGGTGTTTCTTCAGTACTTAGCACATGTTTAATGCTTAATCAATGTTTATTGACTATTGACTCTGGATGAGCTTAAGCAATGTTTATAGAGCAATAAGTGAAGCATACTGGTAAATGTTTAACAAGAGGTAGGGAGTGTAAGACTTTTAAGTTTAATTTGCATTATTAACACTGTCTTAAGTCTAGACAATCAAAACAGTAAATTAAGCCCTGATTTGTAGCAATAGCCAATTTCTGAGGTGTAAATGCTCACATTAAAAATTTAACAATCCACTCTGGAAGCCACTTAGAGCTGGCTTCAGCACATCCCTGGATATCTCCCTCCACTTTTCCCCTCCGACAAGCATGTGGAGAAAGCTGTCACCCCAACAATCCTTTGATTCTCATCCCTGACACTCTCAGCTACTGCTATAAGCATGGAAGATAGGGAGTGTTCACCGAGTCATGATTATCCTTTTACTTCCACAAAGACCGAAACTACAGCTTCCCTTGGAAGAGGGGCATTCTAGACTTCTCTAGATATATCGTGCTACTGCACCCAGATGGCTCCAGAGAAGAAAGTGAGGCTGGTGACTTTGCACAGCCCTCCCTCACTTAAATCCGATTCACTTGTATATCATGGCATCACCTCCCTGATGTCATGGTTCTCTTTGAGAATGAAAGACAAACAACCACAGATATCCATCCCACATGTGCCCCAGTCCCCGTGGCCTGGTTCAATCAGCCACATGCCCTGTTGTTACCTGCTCCTAAAGGAAGAGAATTGAACTAGTCAGACAGGCTACTTGGCAGCACAGCCAGTGGAAAGTGTGTTGGGTCTGGAATCAAAAGAACTGGATTCGAATCTTGCCTGTGCCTTATTAACTATGTGACTTTGGGCAAGTCAGGTGAGTTTCCT